AATGTCCCACAACTTTGGGGTACATTAGCACAGAATCATCAGTGCATGACCACACAATCCTTTACAATTTACGCTTTAAGATTAATGGTTACCTATTCTAACCAACAATAAAAACAAGTAAGCTGTCACTGATACAGATGCCTGTTAATGATTGCTGTAAACAATTTTCTTGCATTTACTTTACACACGTTTTTTCCTGACTTACAGAATATGATGTACCTCATATAACAATGTACCATGTACTTCGTATAGTGCAATTAACAATCACAGAAACATGGTCAATTCCTGTTGTAGTAATTTAGAATACAAGCCGAAGTTCAGATTCTAAATGAGTCCAACAAATATTGACACTTTTAACGCATGACTGTCATCATGCTTCAATCTCCAGGGATAGTTCAGCCACTAGTCAGCCTCAAGACTTACATCAGTGTATGAAATATGGCCTGTCCGACCACCCAAGACGGGAAACATGTTCCATACATTGAGTAAATTCACCATATCTTCAAATTTATTTATCAAATTGAGCATTACATTTACACTTGACATTAGTTGACAATTACTGTTTGAACATTGAACTATTGTATTGCAAGCTCAAACTAGCATTGAAAATATTATCACCAAAACAGTGACACCTATCGATGCGTGGAGATCTGTAAACTCGGAGTCGAATTTCTTTGAAAATGACTGTTGTGAATAGACTGTTTGTCAGTAGATATACTTTTCAGGCTCATTAAATTATTCATTGTAACTAAAAATTGAGTTATTTTCTTTGGATTGTCTGGTCGGGTTAAATTTTGAAGTCACCAGCCTTTGTGTCTGGCTGAGTTTTTGGCTTATTTCATACACTGCTTACATGCTTTTTGTAAGTCTTTAGAGACTTTATTCAAAGAAGAACCTGGTTATGTTACATAAACCACTAGTTAACTCCTGCTGTCTATCCATGGTTTCCTAAGTCACACCTGAAAACATTACATCACATACATATGTTACAAGAAGTACATTCCACCCATGCCACAGCAATATGTTCCACATATCAACCTGGTTATCAGTGATGTTCTTGGTTCTGTGCCATCAATAAGGATGAGACACTGTGTCATGGCACACTTAGCTACAGGCAATACGCCACTGCTACTATCACAGTCCAAACTGGAGTAGATCCGTACCCGGATCTTCGTGCATGAATCATACATTTCATGTCATACTTGCCAAAATAAATAGGGATAAACAAATGCTCCAACACTACTTTCTGCCAATTCTGAGCTATACTTTTGGCTAAACTATTGGTACTGAACTATTGGCTAATGTCACAGACTGTATCAGTGTCACCAGGCTTCATTGGGAACCAGAGACTTTAGAAGGTGCAGGCCTTCATTAATGAAAACTGCAGTTCATCATGACAAAAAATATTAACACGTAAATTTACTGCAGGCCATAAAAAACAATATATATATGAAGCTATGTCCCTGACATGAGATGTACCTGGTAAGGGCCTCCAGGTGCTCATTTCAAAGACAGGACAGAAAACATATCATGGAGTATACACTTGTAAATTTAGTATTTAGAATATTTAATTCTAACCTTCAATTTCATTGCATTAATTCCTTCTTCTCCAACAGACAGATCTACATGTTCTACTCTGGTAAGAAATACAGTCAAAATTCAAAGTGTCATTGTTGACAATAACCTGAAATCACCATCCATGATAAGCTAAAGGCCATATGCAACCACATTACACCAGTGAAAATCTTTGACAAGTGACTCATGCCATACATGTACAATCCTTGACCCACCCAAAAATAATAGGAGGCAATTGTGGAGAGACCAGGGTGGACTGGATTATAAACAGATCCAGGTAAACCCCTGTTACATCACTAGATACACATTGTCATTGGCAACCTATTCATTTACTGGTTTCATATATTAATATCTACTGAAACATGTTTTCTTTCAAAATCTGACTGACTGACTGAGTTTGGTTTTACGCCGCTTTTAGCAATATTCCAGCAACATCACGACGGGGGACACCAGAAATGGGCTTCACAAATTGTACCCATGTGGGGATTCAAACCCGGGTATTCGGCGTGACGAGTCAACGCTTTAACCATTAGGCTACCCCACCGCCCCTTTCAAAATCTGAAAAAGCTTCTTGTCCAACTGCATGAACACCTGGACTGTGTTCCCAAAGAAAAACATGAGTGGGTTTGTGAAGTTTCTTATTTATGTCATGGTGAGAAATCTTACACATGGATCACAGTAGTCTATAAATAATCATGTGTATGTCACTTAAAATAGTGGTTGATAGAATGAGCAGTAATCCCAACTGCTGAGGCACAATGACCCACAATGAACTGAGGGAAAGAAACCTTTCAAATTTCCCACTAGACCACAGGACCAGTGAGTGGACAATAATTAGTGGTCCTGTCTGTACTGAATCACTGGTCCAAAATAACATTCGTAGATTTACTTAACTATCAATACAAAATTCACTAGCCACTAGGGAGTAGGACCACTGCAAACTTATCATTTAGTGGTCCTGATGAATGTTTACTAGCCAGGGACCACAGGCTATCGATACAGGAACTATAGGAACTATAGTAGTATAGGGGCATATCCTATGTATCGATAGCCTGTGCCAGGGGCCACAGGACCAGCATAAATTTCGTACACTGTTAGCCCGATTGCACTTTGTGTGTGATGAAAGTAGTGACAATCAAGATGTCCAACACAACAACAATCAATGGTCGTTAACTGTGATACTGTCCATCTGTTGTCTTGATCTGAACCATCGTCCTAATCTGGTATCAATAGCCTGCTTAAAAATATTACAGCATATAATACAATGGTAAGTTGATTGATAGATTGTTGTTTAACGCCACACTCAGCAATATTCCAGCTATATGGCTGAGGTCTGTAAATAATCGAGTCTGGACCAGATAATCCAGTGATCAACAGCATGAGCATCGATCTACGCAACTGGGATACAATGACATGAGTCAACCAAGTCAGTGAGTCTGACCACCTGATCCCGCTAGTTGCCTCTTAGTCTTAGTAGTTACGACAAGCACGGGCTGTTGAAGATCAATTCTAACCCAGATCTTCACAGGTCTAACAGTTAGATAGTACACAGATATGGAGTTGTCACTGATTGTCATTGTTGTAATATATTAACAATAGAATTCTGGTTTCTCTTATTCCTTTCATGGTTTTTCACAGCTGACGAGATACAGAAAGTGTATGCTTAGATTGCTTAAAACCTCACTTACTGTAAGTCATAAAAAATGCAATACCAGTTTTTAATTACAGAATTGACTCATCTCTCAAATCTGTACTGATATGATAAATTCTGCCCATTACTAAGAATATAATGAATTTGTCATATACAGTGTCTAAAATAGCTGCCTGGTATCCCATGACTGGTAACATTTCTGTTGCAGAGGTAAACTTATTCCTACCTGCTGAGCCCTCTGGTAGAACATTTGAACATCACTTCTTATAGTATTTATTTTGACAGTGAGTGAAGATTTACAGTATAAAAATAATATTTGCTAAACTGGTGAAAGTTATTATGGGGATAGGATACTCTTGCATATATATACAAATGCAGGCCTACAACTTTCTGGAAGACGGGCTAATTATATTTACAAGTCACCAGAGCACCTGGCTTGCCGCAAGTAAGGATTATTTCAGACATGAATCACATGTTGCAATATGTGCTGCTGTAATACAAGGGATGCCATGTGCAAAGACGACTTGCATTATGCTGGTAACAGTGTCTCAGTCTGTGAGACAGACTAGGCTGTTCTTGGGCCAATAGAGCTCAGTGCTATGAGTATGACTGCTGTAAGTGGACGATACACAACGTGATCTTAGCACTTTGAGTGCTGTACGTGTGTGCCTTTAAAGTTTGGGATGTAGCACTATAACAGCTTTGTGGAACCTGACATTCAGAGCTTCATTTGCAGCAGCTTGTGGTTCACATTGGCGGATCCAGAGGGGGGGTTCAGGGGGTTTGAACCCCCCCCTTTTGAAAATGACTTAAGACCGCATTAAAGATTTTTTTTGCGTTGGCGGAGCCAATGGGGGGGTTCAGGGGGTTCGAAACTCCTAAACCCCCGCCTTTCAAAATTCCTGGATCCGCCCATGGTTGATATATTTGAAACTACAAGCCCAAACACAGCATTTAATTTTTGGACATATTTTCATGAATATATTTTAGTAACAATATCAAACGATTATTACCTGAGCATACAACACCGAACAGATCGTTACTTTCGGCTAAATTCACAGACAAGATAACAGACAAAGTAGTGTTTGGTATTGGTTATAATGCTACTTGTTTCAGTCATTTCAGATCAGCATGATTATAATGGATGCCTATCTTTAATGTCTTTTAATTCTAACTGGACAACAAAGGTTCAATGATATTCATCATAAAATACATTGGATAACTGGAGAAGGTTAAGAGAATGATAGTAAGCACCTGATTCTTCAAGATACATCAAGATTGTATGATGTACACATACTTTGGGAAATAAAAATACATAAAAAAATAATAATCTAGCTTATGGAGAGTGTTCAAGGTTTTGTGAAACAAAATACCCCAAATTTACTAATTACCATGATTATATTCTGTATGCATAACTGTTTTTTATAAAACAAAAAAATAAAGAATATAATGATAATAAATATATAGTCCAAAAACGTTTTTCACAAGTTGTTACGTGGTTCAATTTCTTCATTATTTATTCTTTCGTGATACCATTCCTCATCATGGTTCATGTAGAGAGTATTATTTGCATGTAAACAACGAAACAAAATTATGTGTCTGGTACAATTTAATACACACGAGTTGGGAAACATACGATCACTTGTCATGACACGATATTTTACATCTCTGAAACGAGCTCGCACTGTGACTGTCAAACCAAAACAAGATATATAAACACGTCTAGTCGAGGATTTCAATGTCCGATTCTCACTCGAGATATAAACATACAAACCTTTGTGAGCTGAGCGATCTTCTTTGACATTTTAAGGTGCATGTCTTGTGTAACTTCCATGTCTTTCTGGGGATTTTGTGGCAACGTTCCATATTTTCCATTTTGGTAGTAGTTGAAAGACATTTTGGCACTGGTCGCCATCTTGGTCCTTGCACCTCCCTTTCAATGTTAATCCGCGAAATTCTAAAGTTCTAAACAGCCAGTCTTCACGATGGAACAATTAACACCTAAATAGTATGACTAACACCCAAATCCTTCGGACAACACATCATTATTCATTTGGATGAAGATGTGAAGCTTGTTTGTTGTTTGTTTGTAGTTATCCAACACGGTGTTACTCAAGCGCGTAACACTCCGCGAGAGTTAGTTTACTGGTTGCCATGTGCACACCGATAGAGGGCACTCTCCTCTGTTATCGCATAGCAGACGACGCGTTCTGATTTGCGGTCGATAGTGGCAAATGCAAGTTATATATTTCAGCTAACAGCCATGATACCGTGTCAGGTACAGTGATAAAACCATAACAATGATAACAAATTGCATGATTTATTGTTGTTATGACAGCAGAAACCACCCACAAACGTTTTGGACAACAAAGCATAAATATACACTACAGCGTCTTGATGCCCCCACAGACAGCATCCGGGGCGGTGGGGTAGCCTGGTGGTTAAAGCGTTCGCTCGTCACCCCGAAGACCCGGGATTCGAATCCCCACATGGGCACAATGTGTGAAGCCCATTTCTGGTGTCCCCCCGCCGTGATATTGCTGGAATATTGCTAAAAGCGGCGTAAAACCATACTCACTCACTCACTCACTCACAGACAGCATCCGGCGTTTTAAGGAAGCGATGGTTTTTACTTGAAGCACAGACGCCTTCAGACAGGATACTGGTACAAATGCCAACACAGGCAGGTTTCCTTTTAGAATAATATGTTTATGTTATTATTTTGTCCAGCTTTGATATTTTGTTTTTAGTTTAGCATAATATATCTATGTTCACAAAGTGAACGATCGGGGACAAGTTCTCACAACTTATATATCCGCTCACCAAGAATAGTTACAATATCAAATTACATGTACACCACAAGCAACTATTACACATGTATAAACTGGCACAATAAAAGGAACTATCAAAAAAGCAAAAGGTATATATACAATGTAAGAAAGCGGAGTTGCAGTTTAAAAGTTAGTCAGATCTGCAACACCATTTACCATGAAGATCGAAACTTACTCTAACAGTCGTATGACTTATATACCTATGCAGTATATTATGTTTTCTAATACCACATGAAATGTACAGTGGAGCTGAGGGATTGGATGTTTTCATGCTCCATTTGAAGTTTGGTAGAACAATTTCTGAAGATAAATCGTTCCACAATGAGATCGTTGGACGGTTCTCTTGAATTAGGGAGAGTTCAGGCACCCAGTTGTCAGGCAGTGAAAATGATGAATGATTCAGACACTTTTGCTGCATTTGATCAGTCCTATCATTCAGCTATCCAAGGAGTAGTGGTGTCGTCCAGTGGTTAAAGTGTTCGCTCCTCACACGGAAGACTCGGGTTCAATTTTCCACACCACGAAGTCCATTTCTGGTGTCCCCGCCGGATATTGTTGGAATATTGCGTAAAACAATACTCACACTCAAGTAACCACCCTGAGGTGATCCATTGTGCATTTAACAGACAACAGAACAGCGTGCAGTAACAACGTGGGTATATAATTCAGTGACATTCTGCAAGACAGGCATACATTGTGGCATTTTGTTAACTTTACATGTCTCTTTGGAAGATAGTGAGTGAGTTTAGTTTTACGCCGCACTCAGCGATATTCCAGCCATATAATCGAGTCTGGACCAGACAATCCACTGATTACTAGCATGAGCATCGATGTGCGCAATTGGGAACCGATGACATGTGTCAACCAAGTCAGCGAGCCTGACCACCCGATCCCGTTAGTCGCCTCTTATGACTAGCATTGGTTACTGAAGATCAATATTCTAACCCGGACTTTCACGGGTCCTTTGGAAGATAACACTTGAAGTTTTTCCTTTGGTGGGAGAGTGGGTCAGTGAGTTTAGTTTTACGCCTTTGTTTTAGCAATATACCAGCAATATTCCACAAAAGGGAACATTGTATCCATGTGGGGAATGGAACACCTATATTTCTGAAGAAACATGACTTTGGAATTGCCGGAGTGTCATATAGTTTACTATTTGTTTGTTCGTGGTAGACATGTTCTCAATACTGACAGGGACCGTGCCAATTCCACCCCATGTCTAGACCTTGAAATCAAAGCCATATGTGAAATGTGAGGTGAGGTGAGGCGAGGTGAAGTGCCATGCGGTGAGGTTCGGTGAGGTGCGTTGCTGTGCGGTGCGGCGGTGCGGTGCGGTGAGATGAGAAATCTTTAGGATGTAGATTATTGCACTTACACAGTGACGTGAATTCTGTGTGTATGTGATTGTACTAGTCCCAACAAATGCTGGTTTTATAGTGCTTACCTATACGGAGACCGCAGTTTACCCCCCAAAGACTATACTGACTGAGAGCCGACCGTTCCATGTTCTCTCCCATAAATAGGTAAGAACACGTCTCATCTTGTCACGTGTTTGGGTACGACGCGGCATTGGTCGAACTCCGATCTTCCGCTCTTCGGCAAACTATCTACCCACTGGGCCACAGAGGCCGTTGTGAAGTGTGAATACAGATATTGAAAGGACAGAAAATAGTAATGCTAAATTCTTAAACCCGTGAACACCTCCTGTATGAATATACCCTCATTAGAAGCCAACAAGCAAACAAACCCTTTTTTTCATAACGTCATAAATGTTCGAAGACAAATACGCTGTATTTCTATTGACTGGAGTCAGACTTGCAAGGACTGAATAGATTGGCCCGTCATAAAAAAATAGACTGATTATTTCTCTTATATTACTCTATGTTCTCTTCTCATTTGTTATGAAAGATTTGCTTGAAAATAGTACTTGTATGTATCAATCAATGCATGGTAAGTTTGTTTTAGCGGATATTCAAAGGACAACAGACAGGTATACATATTTTATGAGAGGTGTTAAAGATTTTATGTGCGCTTTAGGAAACCTATGCTAGGGAGGGAAGCGCCATCAAAATCCTGGGCGAAAAGTATACAAACAGATCGACATGACTCTTGTTTAAGCACACCCTACAGCACTGCCATGGGAGTAAATGTTAGGCGTGACTATTGAGGGGGAAACAACCATTGCGATAGCGATAGGCTATTGCACCCAACTATTGCAATAGTTTTTTTTCGATTTGAATTGTCTCATTTGAAGTCATTTCCCAAATGAATACATGTATATAGTTTATCTGAAATACATACAAGTTGAAGTAGTTTCAGTATCCTTTAATAACTGACAAGAAACGTGAAACCCAGATCAAGTAAACAGTTAAAACATAAACTCAATCAAGCTGCAAGTCAGCACCCAAACAGTCTGGTACTTCCTGTATTTTGCACTGCGCATTTATCAACGTAAGTCAATTACTAAACTATTGATAGTCACACATACTATCGATGCAGCGATAGTTTTTCGTTTCTACCATTGGATAATTGCTATCGGAGACTCAACAATTGCAATCCATCGATGCATCGTTACAGCCCTAGTAAATATAGTAAGAGTAACGCTAAATCTATGAAACACATTGTATCCATGGATGTGGGGAATCGAACCGGGGCCTTCGGTGGGACGAGCAAACGCTTAAATCACTAGGCTACCCGCTATTTTGAACTTAAATAAATACACCACACCAATAACGAATTTGAACATTTGGATTAACTCAACCTCTTTACAAAAGAAAACTTTTTGATATGTATGAAAAGACGGGCAACTGTATCATACATTATGCTGAACCTGAGGAGAAGGTAGACTTGCTACATGTAGGACTGCCAGGGGGTGCGCCGTTTGTCCGGTCGTCTGAAGTGTCGCAGTTGCTGTCCGAAACCTATGATCTGGGGTTCGAATTCCGGTTCGATCTGATTATGTTTCTCACCGAGTAACGTGCTTGTGGTTGTATCACCTAACGAACACTTCAGGCTTTCCGTTATTTAACTGGAATACTGTTTAAAACTGCGTAAAAACTCAATCACTGTACTGTCCGAGAAACGTGTGGCCCAATTGTAGACTGCTTCTTGGTCCTTCACGTAGAGCTTCTTCTCTCCGTGTCGCCAGCGCCGATTGACCGGAAACCAGTCTATGTCCGGCTGCTAACTGGTCTTACTAAACCCCGGGGCCGGTGAGGTAGCCCAGTGGTTAACGCGTTGAATAACCTCTAAACTAAGCTGATGACCCGGGTTCGATTCCCCACATGGGTACAATGTGTGAAGCCCATTTCTGGTGTCCGTGATATTGCTGGGATATTGCTAAAAGCAGTGCAAATACCCACTCACTGACTCACTTGCACACCGCAGTCTGCTTTGCAGAGTTGCTTTTCTTAGCCGCTCAAGGATCTTCAAGATGTTGGTTAGATTCCAGATTCGAACCTAGGTGTGTCTGCACCATAACAATGTTGATGGGAGACATCCATGCCCTGTGTCACTGTAGGCTTTCAGCTGGCGTTGTGCTGCCACTTGTTAAATGCTGTGTACCTAAATTACCGCCAGAAGTGCTCAGGACCCATCTACCAACTGACTGCTACTAACGTTACATCCATGGCAACGGCAGTGCAGCAGCAGCTTGTCGGATGAAATGTCAAACAATGAAAAAAAAACCCGGAGTGCTAAACAAGAAGATATATACATCTGGGTTTAAACATGTGATTTAAATTTCAAATTCATTAATGTACAAATATCTTCAGAGCGATTACAATACTGAACATAACAGAAATGCCATTATAATAATAATTAGGCAGAATGTACTTTATGGTCTTTTCAAGATTAAAAAACATATAAATACACTCACAGATCCCAAGTGCCTCTATAAGGAAGGACCGAAGGATGGTCCCCACATAATGTACCCATTATACCCAAGTTGTGAATGGCTTGTGACGACCACCTGGGAATGTTCAATGTCCAACATACAGTAGTTCCAGGAACCGGTGTCACGTGGTATGACATGAATTGCTGCGATCCTTTCACTTCACTATTGTACTGGATATGCGAGCTGGATCATGCCTTGGGTGTTATAGAGTCAGTTCATATTTATATAGTACGAGAAGGTTCACTCCTTGACTTATCATGAATTCAAAGTGTCATGCCCCGTATAGTTATTATTTGAAAGGGAAAAAACACCCAAAGTGTCACAGGTAACGGATTTCACTGGGATGTGCTAGGGGAAACTGTGGAAATGGAGGTGTCCATCAATGTTGTGACAATCAAACAAACAAACAAGCAAACAAGCAAACAAATGAATAAATAATGTTTCAATTCCTTAGTAGGTTGTTCACCGGCCTCCCCGTGACATCAGTAGTCAACCTCACCTTGAAAATGATAGAAATGCAGCTGTTTTTATGTTTTATTTTTCTACATATTATCTGTCAACCACAAGCAAATGGGCTTTGCTATGTTCCAGCCTCGCGATCCCCATTTTGATTGACTTTTTATCTTGGTAACCCCCCCCAAAAAACAAAAAAACAACAACAAAAACCAACAACCCCAACACACAAAAAAAAAGAAAAGAAAAGAAAAAAAACCAAACCAAAACAAAACAAACAAAAACACACACAACACCCCGAAAAAAATAAAAATAAAATAAACCCCACAAAAAACAAAAACCCCCAAAACAAACAAACCCAAACAAACAGGAAACAAAACAAAAAAACAAACAAACAAACAAAAACCCACAAAAAAACCACAAACACAAAACGCACTTCCACATATTAAACATGTCCATAAAGACAATATGTTAATGGTAAACTTATTAAACTCACAAAACTCTCTGGTTATACGTGTAGTTGCAACATTGTTAAAGCATATATTTATTGCTAGATAATTACTTTGTGCTCACGTGACATTATAAATACATGATATATTAACTGTAAAATGGGCCATAAGGCCGTATATTACCGACTTAAGTGTCTGTCTGTCTGTCTGCCTGTCTGGAACTCATCCAATACTATACTGAACATGTTTTATATGATATTTTCAGGGCATACCATTATCCAGTAGGTACCAAATGGTTTTTCACTTTCTGCACCTTCGTATGTTACTTTTTGTTTCTAATTATATTGGGTAAATATATCATGTATGAATGCTGTGGTCCGATTCAAAAGGATTTCCACAAGTAGGATCTTTTTCCCCTTCGTTAATTTTTCACACGACAGAAAACCAACCTAGAGTTATTCTGCTAGATGTGTATCATATAGAAAATATTGCAAGTCGTACATATTAACGGTGTAGAGGTATAGTGGAAGTTACAGAACTAATCTCAGTCAATCTGAATCCGCCATCCGTGTAAAGTATGATAACATGAAGTGTCAGTATAATGAGGCGAAAGGACTGGCCGTACTCGCGGGTCAGTTTGGGACTCGGGCCACTCTCCGCAGATTCCGAGGGTCCCCTAGTCGTGAGCGAACAACTGCACCACCCACAATGAGTTTAGCCTGAGGCAGGAATCGGCTTTGTTTTATTCATTACAAATGCCCGCATGTATTGATTTCTTTACGCCGATTCTGTTAAAACTTCGGATAATACTTAATATATAGAACATATAATGTTCATGAACATATTCAGAAGTATACAAGTACTTGCTAATTGTGAAGGAAGGAACCATGCTTGTGGCATCCATTGATTTGCTATATCAGTTATCAACAAGTTCAGTTTGCAGGCTGGGTTGGCCCAGTTGTCTGAGGCGTTGTAGTCTACAGGGCATGCCAGAACGGCCCAGAACACATGATTGTGGATTCAAATCCCAGTTCGCCCCCATTATGTTTCAAACTTTGTCAGCAGCATACCCTTCGTGGTGGTTTCACAAAAGCGGTAATCATTTGAGACCTGCATCACTTCGGGCTTCCTCCCTCATTTAGCAGACCCGCTGTGATATAACTGGAATGCCGTAAAACGATGCGTTGAAACCAGCTTAATAATTCCTTCAGTCAATTACAGTTGAATTGTTAGAGTTATGCGTTATATTTAAACTTCAGTGGTGACAACCCTCATGCATTAGTGTCAGTGTTTGTGATAGTGGTAATCCTGTTTAAAATAACGGTAATATGTTAACTTTCTGTCGTTTCATTATGTCATTATCCAATTCCAGCGTCAGCCCCAGATTTCTCAGGATCTTACACTAGGAACGCCACCGTAAGGTCCCTCCGAGAAGGAATACCTTCCTTGTGTAACTCGACAGACAAATGACACAATACCTTGCATAGAATACCCGAATACCAATACAAGCTACACATGATCTACCAGCTATATGGCCGTACCAGTCTATGACTTTTGTTTGGTTGACCAATCTAACGGCTTGGTATAGAATGCCCGGCCATTAAGTGACTGGCAGAGAGAGTCTATACTTTATTGTATGACATACCAGGACACAGGGAAATCTAGTAGCTATATCTATATCAGGCTGATATCAGGACTTCACAGAGTTTGGGCTGAAAGTTCCAGTCGTATTTTTGGATAGAGTTTCCCCACAGACTACTATAAGAACAGCCACAAGAAGCAGGTAAGACATACGATCTGAGACATTGATACGTCTGAAATATTTCATACTTCTAGCTATAACATGAAAGGTAAAGCGTTACAGGAAATGTTTGATCGTTTGTCATGTCATACAGTAGTCAATCATGTTTGTTTTCACAGTTTGACTTATCTGATAACCTAAAGGTTATGCAACTTCTTATGTATTTTTTTAACGTATTATTTATATAAGTTTATTTGAAGTACAAACAAATTGGTGTTAGATGAATCTTGTATATTTTGTGTGCTATAAATTGGGAACAATTATCATGTAGACATGCCTACTGTGGATTCTTGTCCCCAGTGCGTATACAAAACATGTCTATAGTGTTCCTATTAATGTGTTAGACCTGTGAAGATCCGGTTTAGAATTGGGCTTGACTAACGAGATCGGGCGGTCAGGCTCGCTGACTTTGTTGACACATGTCACCGTATCCCAACTGCGTAGAACGATGCTCATGCTGTAGATCACTCGATTATCTGCAGACCGCCACCATACAGCTGGAATATTGCTGAGTGCGGCGTTAAACAACAAACAATAACTAATCAATCAATCAATCAATCAATTAATGTGTTAAGTCTTCCCTGTACCAGGGCTATTGTTCCTTGCTGTGGTGTACATCAACCTACACCAGGGACTCTGCAGGACCCTGTCCATCACGTCTGACCACTGTCAACCATGTGGTGCTCCATCTACGGATGGGAGAAGAACTCACCTTCACAACCGTTCCCCTGGTGACATCTGCACCATCGCCAATGAATTCACCATCAAAATTGGCATCCTTAGGCGGACTGTCAGAAACCAACTGGATACACTTGTGAGTTTAATCGGATTATTTTCCTTGAATTTCGTTGATTCGTTGATCAGTCCTAAGTAACGTTTATATGCTGACACATTAAGTGTCATTTGATAACACATGTATGCACTATGACTGATTAAATTAAGCATACAACGTCTTGTTTATTGCACAGAGCGACATTTCGATGTAGATTCTTAAACCGCTATCAATTGTCATTTTTGACCAACCAAGTTCTAGAATGCCGATTAAACAGTATAATTGATTCATGAAGAAAATGCTGGACATACGAAATAAATGTTGGGAAAAGAAAAATATGGTGTTTGAAATGTTGAAATTGTTTCCTCGGCAGGTCAATGGTTTGTTTGATGGAGATGCCGATTACTTGGAGTGGCGTTACCAACAGAGACGACATTTCCTACAGTGTGCTCCATCAAGTGATACATCAAGGGTAAGGGTTCTATGTGGTCATGGTTACATATAACAAACAAGTACACACAATTGTCTTCGTAGTTGCTTGATAACCTTGGTAAGAATAATTGTACATCTGATAGTTGCACCTTACTATTTAGGTATGGTTTGGTTTTATTTGGTTAACGCAGACAGTTGGCAATGTAAATATGTTTATTAGACAGCTGCGTATGCTGGCTATTGATATGTTTAAGCAGGAATGGCATTCAACTATGATTGGAAGTTCTATTTAAGTCGTTAACGTTGCTTGAGCCAGAATCTTATTTAGCAAACTTACGCTACAGAAATGTTTGCAATGTCTCTATACGTTTTAGATAAGGCCTTGATGATTTAGTGATTAACCGTGGGCGATATTTTTCTATTGAAAAGACCCAAAGACTATGTCCATTATGTAACAATATTGAATATGAATTCCATTTTATGTTTATTTGTCCTGTATATGAAAATCCAAGAAATAATTGTCTAACGCAATTGCCTTTATCTCATATCAATGTCTTACCTGAAAAGAACCTTCAAAACAACACAAAGTAGCCCTATTTATTTACAATGCATTTTTGTTGAGAACAGAATTGGTTAGTTGATCATATATGCCATTGCTAATGTATATATCTTTTGTATATGGACCTATGACATTTCATGTAATAAAGAATTGATTGATTGCTACAAGTAGATCAGTGAATTTGTTTCTCGTTTCAGATGTCAGCAATGGCGTCACTCTATGATCGACTTGTTGGCCTTCATATCTATGTCAACTTCACTGAAGGGTACCGCCGGTCTTGTTCTGTGACTGTTGAGGGGATCGCTCACCAAGTGTCCCTGGCGGTTTGTGACCTGCATCACATGATGAGAGTGACGTCCCAGACGCAGGGTCATGAAGACGTGTGTCGCAAACAATGCGGTCTGGCCATCGGTGGGTGTGTGTCGTTCCAGAGACACGCCTTCAATGCCTTGCGGTATGCATCGGATGTACTGGAATCCATATTCCAGGAGGCTGGACTTTTGAAACAGGATTGGGGGTGCTAGAAGCAAGGTTGGAGTGGTTGAAGCAGGATCGGGGGTTCTTGAAGCAGGATTAGGGTGCTAAAAGCAGGATTGGGGGTTTTAGAAGTAGGATTGGGGTGCTAGAAGCAATACTGTGGGCGCAAGAAGCAGGATTGGGGGGTGGTGGTGCTAGAAGCGGCATTGGGGGAGCTGGAAGCAATATTGTGGGCGCAAGAAGCAGGATTCGGGGCGCTAAAAGCACGATTGGGGTGCTAGAAGCAGGGTCGGGGTGCTAGAAGCAATACTTTGGGCGCAAGAAGCAGGGTCGGGGTGCTAGAAGCAAGAGTGGGGATGCTAGTAGCAGGATTTGGGGGTTAGAAGCAATATTGGGAGTGCTTGAAGCAGGATTGGGGTGCTATTAGCAATATTGGGGATGCTAGAAGCAGTATTTGGGTGTTAGAAGCAATATTGGGGGTGCTTGAAGCAGGATTGGGGGGTGCTATTAGCAATATTTGGGTGCTAAAAGCAATACGGGGGTGTTCGAAGCAGGATTGGGGGTGCTATTAGCAATATTGGGGTGCTAGAAGCAATACTGGGGTGCCCGAAGCAGGATTTGGGTGTTAGAGGCAATATCGGGGGTTCTAGAACTAGGATTGGAGTGCTAGAAACATATTTTCTGTAACATTATTGGTGCTTATTTCGTTATTCACTGAAACAGGTCAATGGTTAGTAGGAGTCAATGCAACATTTTATGAGTGTGCAATACCTTGGTTTAATAATTCTCATATTATCTCATATTATCACTGACTACATATTTTAAGATTTGATTTGACATTTGTAATTTGTCATCCCATTAGTTGTGGGTTATTTAATACATTCCGGCAATAAACCTTAAACATCCCATTGTTGCCAGCCACATACCACAAGAATTCAAGAACAACAGAAAAGGCTATACACTGTTCTGATTGTCCTACTTTCATGTGGATAAAGTATTTTGTACATTAGATAATTTATTGTTGATGTATTAACTAAGTTATTTAGAAGAAAATGTTCATATACGTGTATTATGAATTTATTTACATGTTTACTTAGCTATGAAGGTCATAGTATGCTACAGATATTCATACATATTTCAGCTCAAACATTGTTTACATTAATATCGTACTTTAAATGCAATGCCTCTTGATGTGTTTAAGTTTGTTGCCATTTAAGAGGGCCGTTTTAAAATATCCGTTCCGTTGCTGATTGTTGATTTGTACATATGATTGTATGTATTTATTGATATTTTTGTACATTGTTTTTGCTTAAAGGATGTTACAGTTTTGCTGAAAGTACGTTTAAAATGTGAATAATTTTGCTATTAAATGTGACAAAAATATCCGTTGTCTTGATGTTTATAATTCATTTTATAGAACGAGTGTTGTATAATCCAGCGTTCCGTTTAAAAGGAACAACTGGAACTGGCTATTCTTCAGTAACCCATGCTTGTCATAAGAGGCCACTAACGGGATCGGGTGGTCAGGCTCGCTGACCTGGTCGACACATGCCATCGCATCCCAAATGTGTAGATCCATGCTCATGCTGTTGATCACTGGATTGTCTGGTCCAGACTTGATTATTTACAGACCGCCGCCATACAGCTGGACTATTGCTGAGTATGGCGTAAAACCAAACTCGCTCACTAATTGAAAAAAGTATTCGTTTGATAAACTCTTATCGAAACGATAGCGTAGATGGACGCTCATGCTGTTGATCTCTGGATTGTCTGGTCTAGACTTGATTATTTACTGATCGCCGTCATATAACAAACTAAAACTCGTCTCGAAATGTGAACACATACCATATGTCTTCAAACACATGCAAAAGGCAAAAAGTTCAAGAATTTTTAGGAGGGAATAGGATAACATTTCATCCTCATATTGTTATCTGCATGTGAAGAAAAAGAAATAAAACTTTAGAGAAACGGTCATGATGAAATTGTAACTATCAACATTCAAACCATGTACGTACAGCGGGAGTATTATCACGTTTGTGATATTACATACCTGTGTGTAACATTGCATGAATGGCAACTGCGTCATGTGGAGTAACGAAGCAGCATTTCCCGGAAATCGTCCTTTCCCTGCTAAGGTGCCATTGTGCTTGGATCAACAAAAGCAGTGTTACACAATTCACAACAGTGAATGCAGCGACTATAACGGCTGTGTTACTCACTTCGACTGTGGTTCTAGCAAGACAAGTTCTTTGTCAGTGAATGAATATGACGAACCTCTACACACCGAATGTCAAGGTTATGACGCTTGTATCTATATTTGGTCTACAACGTAGTAAATATCTAGACCATGGCCTAGTTTGTATAGTGGTGTATGTGACATCTCAGCATGCTCATTTTGAAATGCTGAGAAGATGCCATCAATGTTAGTATATGAATATTGTGGATACAACGGAAGGTAAAGCCCCGAGAACTGTATTAGTATAATGTAAAGTGTGTGTTCAATTTGCAATGAAATGCTCTGAAACATTGCTCTTAACGATCTGTAAAACATTATGATTCAACATTCACCCATTAGGCGCACAGGATTCGAACCCGGGTGTTCGGCGTGACGAACCAACGCTTTAACCACTAGGCTACCCCACCGCCCCCTGAGTTATATTGATAACAAGACATATATTCATATAACTGAAATCACACAATAGCTATCATACACTATTGCACAGATATCTAGATTGGGTCGGCAGTGATTCATTGGGTCGCTAAGAGTGGGGGACATGCAACTGAATGCTCGTGAACTACGATCACACATCTAATATTATATTCTCTCTCTACATATATGACATTTTAAACGTGCAATATGTTTGGAGGCCTTTAATAATAGTGATCACTGTATGTTTATCGATTTACACGTGGCGCTGTACTTCCTTTAAATATTATGTTTTATGTAATACATTTGACACATACGTTGTGTTACTTTCGAATGTATGGACTTACGAATGCTTCTAATGGCGCTTTTAACGTTCAACACCATTATACCATAATTGCGTGAGTACATCTTTACATAATTATTTTCATAATGTATTTCTGTCAGGCTGTGATGATTTGAAGTATGTGAAGGGGTGAGGAAGTCCAACGTCATACCGTTTGAACACTGGGACAAACCGATTCTTTATACAACCAGACAGCACTAGGACGTGTATGTAGACATGTAATGGCGTATTTGGATGTTTTACTGTGCAGTGTACATGTTGACTTCCATTAAAACCTTTTTAACGATGGTTTAATTATGTGTGAGAGTTTAAATAGTTATTGTGCAATTATGCTGTGAGGTTCAACAAAATATATCGTTTGAACACTCACAATGCGTGTGTTGTGTATTTGTCATGTGATGATTTGAAGCTAGTGAAGGGTTAAGGTGGGCCACAAAATGTACCGCTTGAACAAACCGTGTCAAATAAATAAGGTCATAAGTAATACCTTCTCACACACACACACACACACACACACACACACACACACACACACACACACACACACACACACACACACACACACACACACACACACACACACACACACACACACACACACACACACACACACACACACACACACACACACACACTTTATATTGTTGATTGGGAAACATTGCAGGATATAATGTAAAGTTCGTTGGAAATTCACTATGATATTGCCATTCACCATCATTTTGATAATTAGTTGTAACATGTTTATATTAATTTTGCGAAAACAAACATATGCTAATGAATAAATTGTGGTGTCAAATTAAGGTGATTTTGAATCCTTAATGAGACCAATTGTTCACAGAAAGGATACCGTAATTTTCCGGCATGTCACAAACACACGGAAAGGCGACTCAAATGTTCACCTGAACAACCAGTGATTTTAGAATTAGTGCGTATGTTCATAGAAATAAAAGCTGTTATGTTTGAGCTGTTGTCCTCCGGCACAATTCAGCGTATCTATACTAAATGCCACTGTTATTTTTAAATTCAGGTGATAAATAATGTATTGCATTTTCTCTGAAATTATTGATATCGCGTTGAAATGCAACCTGTCCGTGTTCATTTTAAACGCATCAGTTTATAAATTGCTGTAAATCTAGGAGATTGCATATGAAACTTAGGTGCTCTTCTAATTTTACCTTTATGTCCGAACTGTCAGTTTTCGGAATAATAAAATTGACAAATCTCAAGAGCCATGAAGTGAATGTAAAGCACGGGCATGCTTCATACTTCAAGTTTTCACATTTCAGCACTGTTTTTGTCTGCGATATTTGGCATCATCGTTACATCCCAACGACAACGACAGGTTGTTTCATACTTAAGAAAAACTACATAAACACGAGCGTTGTTTTGGCAGTCAATAATTTTAATTCATAAAAAAACGAGAAAAATACATTCGACATTTCACTTTTCAACGATAATGAAAAGATTGATTATACATTTGAAAGAATATGAAAGATTAATAGTTTCACTGCTGCACGCATACAGTGTAATACAGCCCATTTGGACACTGAGGAATGTAACGTTCGTTGAAGACTGTTGATAACCAACAAGGGAATACAACATGAGAAATACATATGATTGACATGAAACTTGGTACATGACATGGCACAGTGGAGAGATTATTGGGCAACGTAGTGTACGCATTAGACACATATATGTGTTTCCGTGTTTTTTTGTTTAACGGACCCGTGAAGGTCCGGGTTAGAATTGATCTTCAGTAACCCATGCTTGTCGTAAGGGGCGACAAACGGTAAAGGGTGGTCAAGCTCGCTGAAGTGGTTGACAAATGTCATCGTATCCCAGTTGCGCAGTGCTCATGCTGCTGATCACTGGATTGTCTGGTCCACACTAGATTATTTACAGAACGCCGCCATATAGCTGGAATATTGCTGAGTGCGACGTAAAACTAAACTCACTCACTCTTGTTTAACGTGGCACTCAGCAATATTACAACTGTTTGCCTGCATATAAATACCTTAAGTGACAATTAGAAGTTGGTAAACAAAGAACTTTTATGGACTGACATCTTCTCTATTGCAATAGGTGGGTGAGGTGAAGTTGGGTTTTACGTCGTGCTTGAGAATATTTCGCTCATATGACAACGTGTCTATTGCAATAGATACGACGTTTCGGTGTAGATGCTAACACCGTTATAGACATAATTGTAAAAGGTAAATCAACTAAGGCAAGAAATAAATAGTATCATTGTAAATATGACTTTCCTGAGATTCAGTTGTCGTCGCATGAAGTGAGATCATGCCCTTGTGCTTCTGTTATGAACAGTTACGTCTCCTCAACTCTCCTAGGATCTCGTGAAATGTGTGCGCTGCCGTTATAAGAACACGTCTGGCAAAGATCTGGAAGGATGGACATCCAGGAGGGATATGTCCCTCTTTTATACATATGTCTCTGAAGTGTGCAGTGTGTGGCATCATGCCAAATACGTGGCACAGCGGAATATGGTCGGCGATGTTGTTGATGTTCACATCGCATCCACCTCTCATCTCAATGAGTTTCAGGTTCAGATGAAGGAATGAAAGCTTGTTGTAAATAATTTCCATCTGTGGCGAGAAAGTGATGAAATGTTTTTAGAGAATGTAAATTATTTAACCTTTAAAACCAGTATTACATTAGCTGTATTATCAACGTTCTGTAAAACGCTAGATTCAATACCCTATAGGAACGACGGAAAATATCTTTCTAAATGAAAACGACACTGTGGTTATTTATGAATATTGTATAGTTATGCATTATTTTCCCCTATTCAACAACATCTATTCCAATTTTAACGTAAACGTGTTGTAAATTCTGTAAAAACTCAGATTCAATACCCTACAGTAGAGTCAGAAACGGTTTCATTCTGTAGCATGAAAATCATACTATTATTATTTATGAATAAAGTATAGATTACGTATTATTTCTTTTTCATATGCTGCAACATAAATCCAACGTTAACGTAAATTATTTTATGTTTGATGCATATATGGCTTACCCATGAAAGATTTGTTGGAGTTTCAATATGGAGACGGTCAGTGCCGAAGTCATCGTTGTCAAACACCATTTGCTAGGAAAAGATTAAAACAAAAAGATTCATAAACATACGGCGATGTGAACTGGTATAATATTTCCGTTTAACATTACTCCGCCTATAGCGACATGCATGTAGGTGCCCGTGTCCGTCTGTGACTGCTTGTACTGGTCATTATCTAATCTGGGCCTAGATTTTCGAAGTTCTCTTAGCGCTAAGATAGTCGTAAGTTAATGTTAATGTATGGCACTTACAACTATCCTAGCGCTAAGAGGGCTTCCAAAATCTAGGCCCCGGTTTATAGAGCTAACCCACTGTGATACCAGGTCCCAGTTTATACTGATTCCTTGTCAACCAGTTCTTGTTAATGTACTTCCGGTTGACTACTAGGGTGACAGCAGGTATCATCCTTTAACGTGAGTTGGTATAACGCGATCGGCTCTCGAACTACCTAGATACTCTATCTACTAGATGCGGTTGGAGGAATGTGGAGGCACTAAAGTACTAGTTTTCTAATTCAGACAAAGGAAAATAAATATTTGTTTTGAAAAAACGCATTGATGATCTGAATTACATTGTTTCATTGAAAACGTGGTTAATCTGTAATGATGAAATTTCCTTATGATACCAACCTTTGATTCTCTAATTGAATGTGGGTTCACGAAATACCGACAGACCTGCTATTATTTTTCGTGCCAGTAGACCTAATGATTAACATATACACTAAGTATTGGCCTTATTGCAAGATGCATGTCCTATGCACTTGTCTCTTTGCATATAAAATATTAATAAATATAAATAAAATATAAATATAATATAAATACAATATAGATATAATATAAATACAATATAGATATAATATAAATACAATATAAATATAATATAAATATAATATGATATAAAGAAAAGTACAATCAATGCACTTTATCGTACTTGCTCCAGCACCACCTACTGATGGCAAGTCGTCCATGGACGTGTCAGCTAAACATACCAGGTGCTGCCTTGATCGATTCACGATTCTGTGAAGCCGTCGTATCTGGGCGATGAGTTCATGGCGGTCGTGGCAGTCGAGCGTTAGGTCTTCCTCAGACAGGTTGACGAGTTGACTGACCGGCTGTAGGACACGGCCCGAACCTGTGCATGGTTGACATGTGTCAGACAGGTAACGGTTGACCACACACAAGCCATCTTGACTGACCAGGCACAGACACAGGGCC